GAACTATTTATTTATTAGACTTTGCTTCTAACTTCACGTGATATCAGTAGTAAATGAGTTTATCTCTTACATCAGCATCAAAATGATAAGTGAAAGCAACCAAGAATTACAATTTAACCTTTTAACTGTAAAAGAGTATTCACTATCACTACAGATCAGTTTATTTTCTGTCAAGGTCATACACACCAATTTGCAATCCAGGGATCCACTGAAATAAACAAGTCATCTCATTAGTAGTGGAGAAGATGTAATAGAGATGTTCTGTGTGAACTACAATTAGCTTGTCATCATTAAAATAAATGGTGCAATTTCTGTGCATGCTCTTGTTTACGTACATTAGGAAGCATTCAAGTCATTATTCTGAAAAATCCTTAAACACTTGTATTTTCTCTGTCATAGACTTTGTTCACAGGAAATCTGCTTCATGAGTAATTATTAGGGGGAGCCATTTAATTTCATGGTAAAAACAATACCATATAAATAACAGTCAATTTGTTCCAATTCTTTCTGTTTGGAAATGTTTAGTTAGGCGTGAAGCGCAAGAAACTAGTTTGACAGGGCAGCACATTTTCGAAATCTGTTAAAAATTAGGATGCAGTTTTCTGATTGAGATACAATTGCATGTTTTTATATTATCTAAATTGCTAGGTTAATTTGCATGCTGCATGAATTTCTGTTACAAGCAAACCGTTAGTTTGATTCAATCAGTGCAATGAAATAATTTAGCCAAAAATAAAATGGCATACGAAAAATTGTTAACAAGGACATCCATCTACTAATCACCTTGAGATTTAAAAAAAATATCATGGAAGGGTTTTTTAAAGTGTCATGCCATGTTAAGTGAACACATGCTAATTTAGTTCAGCTATAATCTGCACGAAAGAAAAAATAAGCACATAAAGAAATGCTAAAATATTTGTGTGTTCATGGGAGTAAACATGTTGAAACTTGTTTACATTATAAACCTAATTATATATGCTTTATTTAGTTGTCAATATAGACATTTAATTGAATTATTGAAAGCCTTTATTTTGTCTGTCATTTTATCTCATGAAGTATTTGTTATGGCCACCTTAAAAGGCTCATTTTCCTGCTCTCCTCAATAGATACCTTGCACCTATCACAAACCTGAAGACTAGTGATAATCCATCCAACATTCTTTGTAAATAAAATGTTACAGTCAAACACCTTCAAAATCAATAACATAGCATAAAGTAATTCTTGCCAGTTTGTGTGGTAATAGAAAAGTTCATATTTTAATATAAACAACAGCACATAAGAAACGATAATGAAAATATTTTTATGTGTTATGCTCTTGTAAGTTAAAGTACATCTAAACCCAAGGACAAAAATGTCATATATTGCAACTTACCAGTCCTGAGATGTAGTGGCTGCATTCATTTCTTTTTTTCAGGCTAAGTACATTTTCTGCAAGTACAAAAAAATCCTTGAACTATATCTGAACTATAAAACAACTATCCTCCATGCATTGCATTTTTGTAGCCCACATTAAAGAGGAGCTCCAGGCTCCCCCAAAAAAATTAAAAGTCAGCAGCTGCAAATACTGTAGCTGCTGACATTTAATATAAGGACACTTAAGATATTTATAAGATCGAGTCCAGAGACGGGTAACAAAAATGATGAAAGGTCTGGGAGATAAAACATATCAAGAGCAACTTCAGGAACTTAACACCTTCCCGCCCGATCTATAGCAGATCGACGGCCGGGCGGGACACTCGCCATTGTGACTGGGCGTCATTTGATGTCCTGTCAAAAAGAGCCGCGGGGCTGTGCAGTGGCGTGATCTGTCACCGGCTGTGTCCACAGGACACAGCCAATGACATATCAGCACACCGGCCCATTGCCAGTGTCATGTGACCGCTGTGACCAATCACAGCAGATCACAAGTCAATTGTATACAATGGATAGCTTCCTGTCATGCCATCCATTGTATACAATTATGTTGTTAGCTGTGACTGGTCAAGGCAGTCACATGATACAGACAGGGCCAATCACAGCCCATCTGTATCATGTGATCAGCTTTGCCCAATCACAGCTAATCACAACTAAAGACTGAATGAATCAGTTTCATTCAGTAACAATGATTGCAAATATCAATGATATACATTGGTATAAGCAATCATAATGTGTTAAAAAAAAAATCCCGATCACTTGCCCAGAGTAGTTCAATGTTACTATGATAACATTGTATTGCTTTGGTCACAGTGTGCTGAAAAATAAAATAGTAACAAAAAATAAAAATGTAATAAAAAATAAAAAAAATTATAGAAAGATTTGAAAAAAAAATACACATTCAATCATTATTATTATTTTCACCAAAAAATGTAGCTGAATACATTTTGACCTAAATTTATGAAGACATTTTATTTATTTGCAAAATTTTATAACAGAAACAAAGAAAAGTGTATTTTATTTTCAAAAGTTTCAGGTGTTTCTTGTTTTATTTAGCAAAAAAAATAAAAAAACTTAGTGGTGATTAAATACCACCAAAAGAAATCTCTAATGTGTGAAAAAATGATACAAATTTCATATGGGTACAGTGTTGCATGACCCCGCAATTGTCATTCAAAGTGTGACAACGCTGAAAGCTGAAAATCGGCATGAGCAGGAAGGAGGTATAGGTGACCGGTATTGAACTGGTTAACATGTACCGTCTGAAGGAAAGAAGGGAAAGGGGAGACATGATTGAAACCTTTAACCATTTTACAACCGCGCTATAGCTGAATGACCGCTACAGTGCGGTTGTCCAGTTCTGGGAGGGCGTCATAAGATGTACTCCCAGAATGCATCCTCCCATGCGCCCCCAGTGGCGGGCACCTGCCGATCTCCGTGATCGCTGTGTCCTACAGACACAACTGATCACATGATGTGGTAAAAAGCTGATCACAATCGCCTTTAACACATGATCAGTCGTGTCCAATGACACAGCAGATCACAAGGTAAATACAGTTGCTGGTTATTGGCTGCATTTTCCTCACACTGTCACAGCATGAGGAAAGTACTGCCGATAACAATTGTCAGAAAATGGATTGGCAGTGATCATCAGGGCACTGATGATCAGTGCCCAGCAGTGCCACCATCCAGTGCCACCTACCTGTGCCCAGCAGTGCCATCCACAAGTGCCAAGCAGTGCCACCCACCTGTGCCCATCAGTGCCTAGCAGTGCCACCCACCTGTGCCAGCAGTTCCCCCCATCAACGTGCAACCCATCAGTGCCCAATGCTGCCAGTCAGTGCCCAGCAGTGCCGCCAGTCAGTGCCATCAGTCATTGTCAACCCATCAGTGCCCATCAGTGCTGCCTATTAGTGTCCTTCATTGCTGCATATCAGTGCAGTATCATCATTGCCAGCTCATCAGTGCCATCTATCAGTGATGCCTATCAGTGCCCATCAGTGCTGCCTATCCATGCCCATCTGTGCTGCATATCAGTGCAGTATCATCATTGCCAGCTCATCAGTGCCATCTATCAGTGATGCCTATCAGTGCCCATCAGTGCTGCCTATCCATGCCCATCAGTGCTGCCTATCCATGCAGCCTCATCAATGCACATCAGTAAAGGAGAAAAATTACCTGTTTGCAAAATGTTATAATAGTACAAAAAAAAACTTTTTTTTCCCAAATTTTTTGCTCTTTTTTTGTTTATAGCGCACAAAATAAAACACCCAGCAGCGATTAAATACCACTAAAAGAAATCTCTATTTGTGTGAAAAAAATGATAAACATTTCATATGGGTACAATGTTGCATGACCGCGCAATTGTCATTCAAAATGAGAAAAAAGCTGAAGCTGAAAATTGGTCTGGGCAGGAAGGGGATATAAGTGCCCGGTAGGCAAGTGGTTACATTTCAGTTTTGGGGTTTTGAAATTCATGTGTTTGTATTTCTAGGTGGGACAAAGGTTGTGTGTTTTTGTAGTAACAGGTCTTGGAGGCATCAAGTCTGAAGAGATATAGAACATATAAGTCCAGGGTAAGCCAAAAGTTATCATAGCATGGCTTGGATGAACTAAAGAAATTGCCAAGAAAACTACAAGTGTGTGTGTTCATATGAACACTTATGAGGGCAGGTGCTGTTGTTGGATGAGAAGACATGTCTTGAAATCAGCCTTAGGGTGTTCAGTAGGATTTAGGTCAGGGATCTATGCAGGCCACTTGAGATCCTACTCACCAAACCCATTAATCCATGATTTTATGGACATGGCTTTGAGCATCGGGTACAGTGATACTGCCTTTGTATACTGTAGTATTATCAGTACCCTTCATTGGAAACACCTGAGCTCAAAATTTTTGGGATGTGAAAATACCTTTGCCTATAAATGAGGGGTAATAGTCAGCTATCCACAAACGTTTGGCCATATAATGTATTACCTTTGACTGCTACTGTTAGAGCAAACAGATACCTTACAAATGAGTTTAAATTTGAAAACTGGTTAACAGGTGACATCTAGTAATTTCATTTTACTTGCAAATATTTCCTCTTAGCTAGTGCCTCTGTGAGGTTGCCAATTTATTTGCCATGTCGCGAGGTACAATATCAAAAGTCTCTTGAAGACTGAGCTTGAGCTCTGCAGTCACTTTTGCAGCAGTTGTTTTCTTATTCTGGATCACAATCCTGCACAATGTTCTTTTGTCTATTTCAGTTCAGTTGACAATGTCAACCATGGTTATGATCTGAGAATGCAGAAACACTACAGGAGATGATCAGAGAGTGCATAAATATGACAGAAGATGGTCAGAGACTGCAAACATGACACTAGAGATCGCCAGAGACTGTGGACATGATAACAGAGATGGTGAGAGACTGCAGACATACTACAGGAGATGGTCATAGACTGCAGACATGATACCACAGATGGTCAGAGAATGTGGACATACTACAGCAGATGGTCAGAGACTGCAGACATGATACCAAAGACGGTCTGAGACTGCCAACACGCTACAAGAGATGGTCAGAGACTGCCAACATGCTCCAAGAGATGAACAGAGACTGCAGGCATACTACAGGAGACAGTAAGAGACTGCAGACATACTACAGCAGATGGTCAGAAAATGCATACATACTGCAGGAGTTGGTCAGAGAGTGCAGACAAACTACAGGAGACAAACAGAGACTGCAGAAATTGTACAGAAGACAGTCAGAGACTGCAGACATACTACAGAAGATGGTCAGAGACTGCAGACATACTACAGAAGATGGTCAGAGAGTGCAGACATGATACCAGAGATGGTAAGAGACTGTGTGTGGACATACTACAGGAGACGGTCAGACACTGTGGACTTACTACATGAGATGATCAGAGACTGCAGACATACTACAGGAGACAGTCAGAGAGTGCAGACAAACTACAGGAGAGGGTCAGAGACTTCAGACATACTACAGGTTACAGTCAGAGACTGCAGACATTGTACAGAGAAGGTCAGAGACTGCAGACATACTACAGGAGATAGTCAGAGACCTCAGACATACTACAGGAGTTGGTCAGAGAGTGCAGACATACTACAGGAGACAGTCAGAGACTGCAGACATTGTACAGGAGACGGTCAGAGACTGCAGATATACTACAGGAAACGGTCAGAGAGTGCATATATTCTACAGGGGACGGTCAGAGACTGCAGACATACTACAAAAGATGTCAAAGACTGCAGACATGGTACAAGAGATGGTCAGAGACTGTAGACATACTACAGGAAATGGTCAGGGACTGCAGACATACTACAAAAGATTGGACATACTACAGGAGATGGTCAGAGATTGTGGCCACGATAGAGATGGTCAGAGACAAGGATACAGCCGACAGAAGAGGCTTCTCTCACTGGGCATGAATGTGTACAATATTCTGTGTATGGGAAAGGGGCGGGATGTCAGTGTGTTACTACTACACTACACAGGTAGGTACAGTGGGCTCAGTACACACACAGATAAAGAGGACTCGTACAGAAGATGGGGGTAATAATCACCTTCAGTTCTGTCACGGTCGGTCTGCAGAATCTTCATTCACATCCCCTCTGCTCCATTCCCCTGTGTCTCCGGAGTTGGGGTGGCATGCCCACTTCATTCATATAAAGCACCATGATGTCACATATTATGATATGGTTCACTAATCTGACATGAAAGAAAGCTTAAAGAGTATTTAATCTTAAAACCAAAAATGCCATATAGTGCAGTTTATTTAATCCCTAAATGAGGTACTGTATGTGCATATGTTTCTTTTTACTTAGAATTTGTTCCCTATATTTTCACCTAGTAATCCTTTGAAAAAAACACACTTCTTGTCCCAATGTTGTTACTAGTTTTGTCTTGAGTGTATCCCTGTTGTATCATGTATAAATGATAATAATAGATAATAAATTATTTTTTGATTTCTCAGCCTCTCTTTTTGTTAATGATCAATGATTAAAACACTCGAATACACTTAATACACTGCTTCAGTAAGCATGGAATTATTTTCCTTCTGGGCCTTTGAATGAAATGAAGGGACAGGTCACCTGTTGGTTTGACCTGAAAGTACAGTAGATCTATGAGGCTGATAGTGGACCCCAAAGATAGTGATGTCAGTCTTCCAACAGGGAACCCTATGGAAGCCACAGATAACCTTGTAAAATGCATAATGAAAATTTAAAAACAAGCAGAAAAAATAATCTACTTATCAAAAAGATTTATAGATTTAAATATGAATTAAGGCTTGCATACAGACACATGAGAAGGTTACTATTGGTTTATGCACTTATTTAAAATAGGTGTGTTGCACCAGATACAAGAGTGAATGTTGGGCAAATAAAAAGGGTGCACTCAAGATATGGGATACTTTTGTAACTTTGTTGATTGTAAGTATTTCTTTACAATAACATCATATACATCAATAAAATGTGTATCCTTTGTGTGAATCAGTGTTTATTAAAAGATGGCTGAAGAAGGCTTTTGTCCTTTAACCTTCCGTTCCAGAATAAGCTGTTGGGATGGTTTTGTTTGTCTCTACTACTGAGAATTTCTTCACTTTGAGTCTGTCCCTCCCTACTCTTACCTGGTGCCCCATTGCAGTAAGTTTCTCTTTCTCTGTTTATTTAAGTTTAGTCTCCAGTGATGGTCACAGCCTTCACCCTCTCAACTCTAATGTTACCACCAGGAGTTTTGAAGTAGACTGGGTACTCTCAGGTCCTGTCTCCTTACAGTAAACACCTTCCATCCACTGATGAAACTCTAGTTTCTGATTTCTTTGGTCCACTTTTGTATGTCATAGTTCCTTAGGGTGACTTTGTCTACAACATTTTTACCCTGGCCCCTCCTTCTCTGGCATCTCCTCCTATTTCTTTTGAATTGTGATTACATCTAAGCTTCCCCTCAATTCTGTAATAGGAGTGTTAAGCCCCCTAACCCCAACCTGCAGCCTGCTGCTGATTCAGACACATGTTCTATTACATATAATTTAGTGTCTTCTGTTAACATATATATTTTGGCATAAGACTAAACTTCTCAGTGGAAAAAATGAAAACACATTTTGTTTGCCATTATATCTACCGTAATAACAGCACTTGGATTCTGAGTCCTCAGTGGCATTTTTACGCAGTGCTGGAGGGGCTCATTGCCCAAGAGCTGTTTTAAACTGGGCATCAGAAGCTCCTGTGGATCCAGGCAGAGGTTCAGGCTGAAATACTGAGTCTTGGTTGCAGCCTACATCCAGCACTAAACTTAAGAGCTGAAATGATGAACTCCTTGGCTTCCGATGTTTTTACAGAGTGCTTCAGAGGTGTGAATAGTAGCGAATATAAACACTATTCAGAAGTTTGGTGCTTACATCAGGAGTGTTTGTCCTCACTGTACTTCCTGTCAGTATGGAGATTTGGGCAGAGCTGTCTGTCAGATCTACAGTAGTAGATCACTAGTATAGTAATCTACTGCTGGCCAAGTGCCAGCATTAGATCCTCTTAAAAAAAAACACACACACACACACACACATCATAACAATGCAGTTGGATGATCTGGATGTTATTTGCATTCACTGCAAGTGAATGCAATATCACTCAAAATTTTAGTAGTTTAGAACCTGTGAAAAACATGCAGTCATATGATTATGTGCCCTTGTCAAACCAACTTAATTGTATCTTAATGGTAAGCCAACAAATTACATGACTTGTTTTTCTCTGCTGCATACATCACAGTGTGGCATCGAAAGGAGAATAAAGTTCTCCTATAATAATGCTGTGTAGGGAAAGATTAATTATTTTTTTTTACTGTTTATTCCCCAAAACAAGGAGATAAAATTATATGTATCCACAATGCTACCATATTAAAGTCAATTTATAATATGTGATGGTAGAGCACAAAACCTAAAAGAAATATTGAGAGGAACGGACACATCACTGAAAAATAATGCTCTGGGACTCCAGGTATTTTAGGGATAATAAGGCCTGGGTATTCAAGTGGTTAATGTTCTACAGCTCCAAAATGATATGTTCCTAAACTGACTGTGATGCATTCAATGTCTTCTTCAGTTTTTTTTATTTAGACAATGCTTTTTTGAACAAAGAGGAGATGAATTAGATCAGGGATGAAAAGCATTCAACACTCCAGCTGTCTTGAAACAATAGTTCCTCTAATGCTCCTCAGCCTACTTACTTAGTCATCATCAACATCTTAAGCATTAATATTTGCCAGTCCATGCAACATATGGACATGCAAAAATGTTCATAAATTGACAGTTTTGAAATGGTCACATTTAAAGGAAAAGTGTTATAGTTTACAAAGTTAGAAATTATTTGTTCCCTTCCTGCACATATATTTGCGTGAATCTCTGTATATTAGATCCACATGCCACAGATCTGCATGGAAATATCCAGGCAAATATAAAAAGGCAATTTGCCGATTCTCTTGATAGGATCAGGATGAAAATGGTGAATAACAAATGATTATTATGATTCATAAATTGTATAGTTCTAAACATATTTCATAAGTCTGTACTAACATATGTAGGAAAATCAAACAGTTGTGATCTACTGATTGACCTTAAAGAATACTTGGAATAATAGAAAAGAAAGAGTGCCCGATGTCCAAAAGTATGCAGTTTTGATGGTAGATTAAGAGGCATTTATTGAGAGTAATGACAAGTACATCAAGCCAACGTGCTTTGGGAGAAAAGACTCTCCCTTCTTCAGTGCTGTTGCTGCAGGCTATAAAATGGCGCAATTAGCTCATTGCTGCCCCTGGAATGGCCAGTTACTCTGTCAGTTTTTCCTTCAAAACCTGGAAAATATATTATATAATTGTATGGTTCTAAACATATTTCATAAGTCTGTAATAACATATGTAGGAAAATCAAACAGTTGTGATCTACTGATTGACCTTAAAGAATACTTGGAATAATAGAAAAGAAAGAGTGCCCAATGTCCAAAAGTATGCACTTTTGATGGTAGATTAAGAGGCATTTATTGAGAGTAATGACAAGTACATCAAGCCAGCGTGCTTTGGGAGAAAAGACTCTCCCTTCTTCAGTGCTGTTGCTGCAGGCTATAAAATGGCGCAATTAGCTCATTGCTGCCCCTGGAATGGCAGCAGTTACTCTGTCAGTTTTTCCTTCAAAACCTGGAAAATATATAACCGGTATGAGAATTTTTCCCATTTAATAGTGTGCAGCAACCACCCTGAAAAAGGGAGAGTCTTTTCTCAAAAAAAGTGTTGGCTTGATGTACTTGTCGTTACTCTCAGTAAATGCCCTCCTAATCTACCATCAAAAGTGCGTTGTTTGGACATCAGAAGCTCCTTCTTTTCTATTATACCAAGTATACTTGTAGAACTGACCACAAGGCCATACCAGAAAGGCAGCAGTCAAACAAATCCTTAGAGGGTCAACCACCAATATCCACCATTGGGTACAACTGACTGGAGAAACATCTCTCTACCACACCCACGCAACCACCCACCTATGACCAGTGACTGATCCAGTCAGTCCAGAGCAGTCTTCAGCACAAACAATATACTCACCTTGAAATAAGTATAACAGCTGAGCTTTTCTTTTTTTTAAATTTTTTGCATGAAGTAAGAGTTTATTAAAACCCCTGTTAAAGTGATGCTAAACACACACTGCTTAATTTACATTGTTCCCTCTGTTTCTGTGTATGTTTAATGGCACTTTAATTATTTTAATACAAAAAATCTAAGTAATACCTAAGTACCTTTTTCCTAATCGATATACAGATGTCACATGACCCAGATCTTTCCCAGCCTATTTGCAGGAGGAGTTTCTAGTTCTGCTGCTGGACACATGTTCAAAATGAAAAGACAAAAAAAACAGCCTTTGGAATACTGAGAAAAAATAAATAAATAATATCAATAATTTGTTTTAAATTGGCA